GACTCAGTTAAAGAACAGATTTTGAGGGTCTGCTCTTGCCAGACAACATCTACAGCTGATGTCTCATCAGCTGCGCAGTGGTTTTAAGACAAGGAGAAAACTCCATTGCTTCAAAAACATTCAAAAATTTACCATGTTCCATCTTTCTGAATTTATACCGCTAAGAAATGCTTAATTAACCAGATTTTAAGCTTTGCCCCAAAGGAAGGCAGCGTGCCTGTTATGCTCTGGGCTGACTTCCTCTACAAATTCAGACCAACCTGTCACCCTTATGACAAGGAAAACGGAGGGATTTCCAGACTTTTGTAGATTACCTGCATCTAAAACATGTTTGGACATAGGACACAATGGCAAGGAATGCCAAACAACAGGTCTCTTTACTGTATTTAGATCACATCTTATCTGAATTCTTACTGAAAAAAAAAAAGAAAGAGTAAAGCGTGCTGGCATCTTTTCATATTCTGTGCATGAGCAGTTAAGGAACAACATTCACTGTCTGCCAAAATAGGCAGAAAATGTTTTGAAAGGGCCAACAGCTGTATTAAACTTAGTTCAAGACAATCTAGAGCTAGAACAGACTCTTTTTGAGCTAACAGCATGCCCGAAGGGATAAATCACATCAAACTGGCAACACGACACTCCCTCTAACTTGTCCCATTAGCATTATAGCTCTATTGACCTCTTGAAAGAAATTTTCTGGCAAGCAAACTCTTCTGGGGCCTGAAGACACGGCGGTAGTTTTAGGGTTAAGACCTGGTGAGGAGGGAATGCACAAGGTGTGCCCAACTACAGAAGACAGTGGAATGAGTGTTATTCTGCTGATTTGTGGGCATTTTATTGTACCTTTTTTGCATAAAGGGTCAAAAAAACATATCAGGGAAGCCCTTCAAGCCTGCAGTAAGTGGTGGGACAGGCTGGGAGAACAGCGACACATGCTTCAAACCCTCATCTTTAGCTTATGCATCACCAGGCCACTGATCTCCAGCAAACATGAAAAAGAAAAATCAAGCACTACAGGTGACACGGTCAGGGCAAACAACCCCCAGCACTGGGCTGGCATGCCAGCCTTTTTTGGATGCTGGACGATCAGGAAGCAGAGGTTGAGATACCCAGGGAAAACCCTTGGAGCATGGAACGACATTTTGGTGTTGGGATAACACCTTTTCGGACAGGAGGAGGGCTGATTTTTGAAACAGAATTAGGCAAGAGGTTAGATAACACAATGTGTTAAGGACTGCATCAAGCTAACCACAGACATTCATACAAATACACCTAATTCTTAGGATCAATTAAATCTTAAGATGTAGGGAACATATAGTTAATGAAACTGCTCTAACTTGTGCAGTTAAGCACAAACCTGGGGATGAGCAGGGCATATAATTATGGCTACACACTGATATCTCAGTGATAGCTCCCATGTATATCTGCTCATCAACTAAAAGCAAAAGAAATATCAATTACAGTTTTTTACATAAACCAGAATCTGTATGTTACTACTGCAAAAAAACACATTTTTCTTTATTTTTCAGTAAAGTCTTAAGAGATAAATCAACGTTATTTTTTTTAACAATTTACTTTGATTTTAAAGTCCAGCACCTCTTAAGCTACTGTTTCTTGCTTCATTGAGGTAAAATGTAAAGCAACACCACAAACAAAATAACTTAGAAGAAAGGGAAAAAATGAATTGAGAAAATGAAAGTAATGACAACTTGAATTGACAGCTGAAAAGCTAAGATATAAAGCACAGTTTCCCGTAATCACTAAACAAAAACAATTTAGAATTAAAACTAAAATAGAATTTAAGCAATGAAATCTCAGCTGGAAATCAAAAGAAAATCAAATTCAAGATTTTAAAAGAGCAACACTGACAACACAAAATTTGTCTTGTACTTGCTGCAACTTGGTCTTGGAAATCACCAGGGATGATGAAGAGTCAAGAAAGAAGCTTTGCTTCACCTAATGATAAGCAGTTACCCTTTGCTGTTTGGAAGATGACATATTTCTACAATTTTCACTTTCAAACAGCCCAGGATGGTCCACGACTGCTCTTGCTGAGGGAAAATCAATACTAGGAAGCGAAAAAGTAAAGCAACAGCGTCCTGATCATTAAGGCCATTAATATTGAACAAACTGTGGGAGATAGTGGGGATATAAAAGTCAAACGTATCCATGGCTGAGCAGATAACGTATTTCTACGCAACAAAAGCAACAAAAAGATTTTAATAGCCTTTCCACAGGCCTGCTAAATAGCACATTTCTGAAAGACATTTAAACTACACTTTTTCCCTCGATTCGGTAAGGCTTTCAAACAAAGTGATTCAGTCACATATTTAACTTCATCTCCACCCAGCGAATCACTTAGTATGAAGTTACTGCATTAAAGGCTAATGTGTATGATGAACAGGAGAAGAATGAACGGAATGTATGCCAGGTGAATGCAAGCATTTTGCTCAACTTGGGCAACTACAGCTAGAGCCTGCTGCTGTAAGACCTGTGAAAGTGTACAGGGTTGAATGATGTGGAAACTTTACTGCTGAATTAAGACCTCCATATATTTTATAGATTTTATGATCAAATATTTTCCAGGCACAGCACCTTCCTGGCAACAGACTGGCAACACAGGGCTAGGGTAACCTTTTCCTGCAGAAAGCAGCTTTGTGGAAACCTAGCGCAAAAAAGCAAACGTTTCGACAGTTCACTGTCAAATAAAATTATTGTGTTGTACTTGAAGCTTTTGGGAAGGTTTGCAGCTGCAAATCCAGGCCACTCAACAAGTATAAGAAGGTAATTTGAATGAACATTTAAATACTTACCGTTAAAAGCATAATTAAAATAAACAGTATGAGGGATGTTTCTGACGTTTTGAATAGAAAAGGACTTTGCAAGGAAATAATAAACACAAAAGGAGTATTTTAACATGTGTAATAAATCAATTTGAAAACTGCAAATTTGGGATGCATTTCCACGCTGATACAGAAAGGTCACTTAGCTTTGATGACCTTATATATGTGTAACGAAGAGCCACTGCAGTGCCCAAGCTCTGCCTGTCATTAATGTGCTATTGAAAATTTGCAAATATTCCAGATATTAACTTCAGCCTTCAGAGGTGGCATTAGAATTACTTTTCTAGAACAGTTCCTAGATAAATAAAATTACTCCTACTATGCCACACTTATAAGCAGCAAAATATTTCACAAAGCTGCTTTCCAATAAAACCATGTAGTTTATGGACTCTTGTACAAAGGCTGGACAGAATATAGCTACTCATTAAAAAATAACCCATTTGAGAATCTCATTTGTCTAATTTTTAAATTTCTATCTTTATATTAGTTATTGCAGATCTTCATTACCCTTGCTGAACCTAGAGCTCCTGTGCTCACACAAAGGTCATTATTTACTGTACGGTTACCTGCAGCAAAAAACAGATTCCTATCTGCCTTGTGCTGATATTTACATTAATAAAGACCTACCCCCCTCTACAGGGTTATCTTTGACTTCAAACAGTACAATAATTTCAAACCATCAGTGTAAGTCACATTTTTATCACACTTCTCGCTCTAGAAACTTTCTCCAAGTCACCCACATTTTTAAGTTTCTTCAAGTTCAGGCCCCCAAGCTGACACAGATATTTTTTTCCTGAGGCTTCACTACCGCTCACAGGAACAGAAGAAAGACTTCGTGCTTTGTGAGCTAGGTTGCTCTGTATCTGTTCTTTGCCGTCTTTGCAATATGATGATATTGGTGCCTTTGAAAATGAAATTTGGTCTTGGTATCTCCAAGGTTCCTGTTCAGGTCTTGCCTGTCTTTGGATTTTTTTCCTGAAGTTTGCCATGAAAAAGGACATGAGACTGGAAGGAATCTCTTGGCTCAACTGATTTCAGCCTCTACTATTAAAGATTATATAACTGTATTGAAATAGGTTGCAATCTGAAACAGAACTCTTGTCCCCGCTACATGCACCAACACACTTTTCATTAATTCTGTTTGGGTAGCTGGAAATCAGAAGTTGGAATTCCTATTTTGTTTATTAAAATAATATACTCTTGCACTAACTTTCTTCTTCAAGAGCATTTTTTCCTTTCTGGTACTTCCAAAATATTAATAGACTGAAATAATCCCATTCTCAGTCTGCTTTCTTCCCACAAAAGCCAAACTCAATTATCCATCTCTTGAGTAAGGGCTATTCCACTGCCACCTTGCAGTCCCTTCTACTGCCAAAAATTTGACTACATCCCAAATATTTATAAACTGCAAAGTATTTCACTACTTACATGCAGATATTAAAAAAAAAGATAAAGGATGAGTAAAATCATTAACTTAGAGAATTGATCACTGCAAAAGCCACTTTGCTTTAGTTGCATATTAAAGAATGTAAAATTAATGAAAACATACAGATTAAGAACTCTGCATTTGGCTGCAAATTAAGCAATTACAGTGAAAAAAAAAATGATTCCACTCAAAGTGGTGTATTAATTTGGGAAAATCAAATTTTCATGGTGGCATTCGACCACCATCAAATCACCAAAACTAAAAATTGCTTTTTACATGGGAAACTACTTTGTGACTAAAAAATCAAAATTCCTGGACAACAGAATGATTCCAGTTTGTTCCTAACTTCCAAAGAAATAATTTCCATGTGCATTCTCTGCAAGACTGTGTTGAGGCAAACACCAATGTAATGCAGAACATACCACAACTGCAAAGATGCATAGAAAAAAGTCACCAAGTTTTACAATAAACAGGCAGTAGAACAGGCAGTCTCTGAAAAATAAAGCATCATGACAAAATATTGGAGCTTCAGATATTTTCCAGGACTGCCTCCACCGTAGTCTGAGGATTAAACAGCTCAACAGGGAGAATTTTGACATAATTCTCATGAATTGACATGACTCATGGACAATTCTTCACCTACCTGTTGTGGACGATAGCAAAATTTCCTGTGAGCTTCTGAAGTTAAAGGCAATAAAACAGAGACGTGTCGAACACAGCACAAGGCTTACCTGGTGGCTGGCAGGGTGCTGACCCGCGTAAAGAAAACGGAGGGCTCTACTTCCACATGGAGGCCTAGAGAAAGGTTCCTGTAGTATCCTTCGATGTGCCCTGGTCCACCAGAGTATTTAAAATTCAGAATGGCTTCCAGGGTCTAAAAGGAAAGAAAAAATATATATAATATTTATTTCTACACACATTTATGTATTTGTGAGCTATGTTTCATTGCTACGGGTTAAAATATCTCAATTATACAAGACCATTTGAAGTAACTTAACAACAAAGTTTCTGGAGTATGGAAAGTTCATCCTCCTAAACCATAAACCTAAATCATCTCTTACCTTAGGAAATGGGAAACATCCACACTCAAATGGGCTCCTCTCATCTAAGCAGGTGCTATTTTTCCCCTGATCCTTTCCAACACTAAGGAGTCCAGAACAAAGTTGACCGGACTTCCCTTCACATAAATCCTCCCCATGCTACAGTTAACTGATTAAAAAAGCAAAGCTCATTTTCAATTCTCAGTGTTTAGGGTTTATTAAACGATATGCTCTTTTATGCACTTTAGAAGCATGGACGAAGTCCCTACCTTCCTCATAAAACAGGCTTGTAAAGTCCTCGATGGCAGACACACAGAAGATTAAACAGAATTACAGCACCTGGTCTCTATATAAGTAAGCGTAAGCACACAAAAACTAACCCCGTAAAAATAAAGCACATGAACCCTCTCTAAGGAGGATGATTTTCCAGTATTAGTTGCAGCTCCAAAAGCCAAGGCAATGTAAGGAGACAGTTAAGGAGACAGTCTCTCCTAGGGACAGTTGTACCTGCAGGTACCATCAGCCCTCACACAGTTAAAGATATTTTCCCTTTCAATTCAAGGTATATAAGGCTGTTTATGAAGTTTGGTAACTTCTTCCCCATAAGCTCTAAGGCACAATCTATAAAGATTTTTTTTTTTTAGCTTCCAAAAAAATTCATGTTTGACACAATTCTGTCTCCGCTTGACAGACCAGAAACACTCTTACACACAACTTCTTAAAATTACCGTAACATAGTGATTTAAAAACTACCAAATCAAGAATTCAGTGATTTGCTCCATGCGTGCGCATACATATTTTGCATATTCCCAGTTTGCTTTCAAGTCCTGGGCACTCACTCTCGCTCCTGATTTCCTTTCATTAACATTCATATAAGTCACCTTGTAGTACAACCCAAAATATCCACAGGGCTGCATTTCCATCTACTCTGTTTATATTAATTCCTAATTGGCAGCTAATGAACTCGAGCTTCTATTATGTCAGGCAAGGTAATCAATATTAAGTACCAAAATAAAGAAAAAATGCAAACCCATCTTAAACATACTTCATTCTAATTAATCAGCTGGATGATTTAATAGAAGTCAGAGACAGGTTCTACATGTGTCTGACGCTTCTAAAGTCATAAGCTAAGAAAGCATTTCAATTTTAATTAGGATTTTTTCCGTGAAAACTCTGGCTATGTATGTTCTATGTGATTGCTGTGCAATTGAGGATGATAAGAAGATTCATACCATATAAACAGAATGTAAAAATGTAGATATATACACATTCCTTACAGACATATACATATTCCTTGAAACCCCCACACACATGGTATGAATGATTGATTTTCCATCCCTATGACAGAAGAAAATCCAACACTTCTGTCAAATTACAAAGTTCCAAATTAGAACAATTTACCCACAGAGCCTCCAAAGTGGAGACTCCTTTCTAATGCCAATGCCACCAACTTAGCTCTTGCTGGATACTTAAATCAACACAAATAAGATACTGATTCTGTTAATTTTTAACAATATCCATAGAATGCATTTGACTTTGCTAACCTGCAAGCCAGCTGGACAAGGCAAGGTGTCCCTGCAAACATAACAGCAGTGCTGGAGCCATAAAAAAGGGGAAAGCAGAACAGAGCACATCTAGAATTCAATCTATCCATACACACTTACAAACGTATAAAAAATATTATGGTCCTCCCCTCTTCCTCCTCACTTCTCAGACAATTCCACTCCCATACGCAACTCTGATGGGCCATCAGTGATATTCATCAGTGATAAAAGAGCTAAAAAAACGCACTGGTTCATTGAGTCCATCTTGCAAAGGGCACTGGAGAATCTCTCTCTGGGCAAAACGGATCTCTGATTTCCTTCCTCTGGGTGCCAGAATGCTTAAATTCTTTCACTTGTAACCAAAGAGCACTTCTAGGGAATTCTGGCTGCTTGATAATATTTTGTAATTTGTTTAAATTATGCAGCAGTAACAAAGAGAAAGTGAGTTTTTTGAATTAAGCAGTCCACAAGAGCAGCAAGTAAACCTGGAAGTAGGGACAGCAGTGACAGCAAAGAGCAGAACAGCAATTCAACTTGGAGCACTCCTAAGTCACTGTCGAGCTGTGCATCAGTCACTTATTCACTAATAAGCGAATTAAGAAAGATTCCCAGTTCATGATGACGATCTCTGTTCCAGTGCTAAGCAAAACACTCCTAATCACCTAAGTGTTATTCTAAGAGGTAACACCTCTTCTCTGCTTGCTAAGTTTAAAGATAATGTTGCAGTTTGCATCAATTAAAGCATACGAGCAACAACTTTATTCTCTGTCTGTGCAGACTTGAAGCATCATGATAATCCTGATTCTTTTTTAAAAAAAATCCACCACCACCAACAAAAAAATCTCACTTTTCAATCACAGCAGCAATAAAAGCTCTCGTTACTGATACATTTCAGTACAAGGAGCCTTCCTTTCTGTAACAGGGATGGATAGTAGCTATATTGTAAATGTAGCATTATTTGGCCAGTCCTCTCCCCTTCCATCGGGGCTTTTAATTTCCAAAAATAAAGACTGACTAGCCCCATCATACAGAAGAATCATCCACGCTGCAAAAACAAAGACCTAAAAATTGGTAAGTACGTTCATTCATACTAAGCTCTCTGTAAATATTAGAAGGATCAGTGGTTCAATTTGTTTAATTGAGTCCTTCGCAGTTTTCAGCACCATTTCTTAATTATCGTCTTCCTCATGTCAGGTCCTCATTTCTTCATTCCGTCTTGAAGACAAATCTCCATCACTAAACACAGAAAACTTTGCTAATACGGTTGAATTTTAACCAAATGCCAAGGATTCCTCAATTCTGTCAGGAAATGGTGCCTAGTAACACATTTGGGTTCACTGTGATATTTCGTGTCACCACTAATAATTTCACCATGTACAAAATCAAATCTATTACAGCTGGAAGTTATCCTTTTAGCCCCATAAATCAAAGCATCCTCTTCCCCTTTGATGATGCCTCTGGCGCTGGAGTCCCGGGGTCCCGAGTAGGACATCGAAGCCCTTCTCCTCCTTGCCTTGGTCCATCCAGCTCCACCAGGCTGGGCGGCCATAGGGTCTGCCCCAGTCCGAGGTACCACAGGGCATAACCATGATTTTTGACCCTAGTCAGATTAGATATTAGATATTATCAGTAAGATTAGATATCACTATCTAATATCTCTACTAGGAATCTTTCTATTAGATGTCTCTATCTAATATCTCTACCTCATGTAAAATGAGGTATCATGCAAAAAAAATGATTCAAATTAGCACTTTTCTGGAGTTTTAATTTGCCGTAGACTAACAAAAGTAAAATACTTGTAATATTTGTATTACACACAAATACTTGTAATCTTTCTTTTCTAACACTGACTCTACAATCCCTGATCTTATGTAGTAACCTAACAAAGGATAAAGCCTATATAAAATTCAGGCTTAACAATAGGGTTGAGGGAAGTAACAGGTGCCTATGGGCATAGAGCTGAATATCCTTTGGTCTGTCCTGTCCGTAGGGGTAAAAAAAAGCAGAAAGAAAGAAAGAAAGGCAGGAGTGCACTCATAAATCTCATGGCCATGACAAAGCCTCTCCCTGCAAGACAGTGACCACAGAGGTGTCATCTCATCTTCCAAGTTTCCTCTCTGGAAGAACTCAATATAATCCCTCCTGCCCTGAGATGTTCCTTTAATTGAAACGCTGGTATTGGGAGGAAATTTGGAGGATCAGAGGGGTGTGTGCTTTGTGATTACCCCTTACACCACAAAAGATTTCTTTTGAGCCCAAAGTTACTCCAAATGTTGGTTCCCCTTTGTGTCTTCAGGGATCAATGACAGTATCTGGCATAACTCTGAGGCTGCCTGAGAAAGATGCAGGGAAAGAACCGAAGAGCAGAAGTGCAATACATGAACAACCACACACACAATTTTTCCATCTGTAGAAAACATCGTATCATGGTCCATAAAAATTAACTACTATCACAAATTGCATTTTGCAAAGGAATTCCTCGTAGGAATGAGGACATGATGACATTATACAACTTTGCAGCCAGAGATCTACTCATTGTTCTGTCTCCCACTGAAGGATATTAGTCTATTCATTTACAGCTACGCTGCCTGCTTTTCTGAAATACAAAATATGCTTTAGGTTTTCTGTATTTTTTTAAGAGATACAAAATTGTTCACATTCCTTTCATATTCTCCGTTATGGCTCTAGGGAAAAAAAAAAAGAAATAAAAAAAAATCTGCATTTTTATGAGAAATCAAACAGTCAAGATGATAGGACAGAAAATACTTGTCCATTTTTCTGAAAGTAAATCATAAAGCTAATCCAAATCCACAGAGTCCTTGCATCACAGTAGAATTACTAATTTTCCCCCAAATAGGAAACCCTGTTCCAGTAGATGCTGCTCCTTAAAGTACCAAAAAGCACAGAAATTAATAGCAGTATCCCTGACATTATAAATGTAATACAGCATTATAAAATGGATAGGCACGTGCAGTCATCCTAGAGGACTGAACTGCAGGAAGAATCCTCTGCAGGAAGAATTCCCTTTTTCTCTACGCCTACTATTAAACATTTCTCTTTTTCTCTACGCCTACTATTAAACATGCATGGTAATTATAAAAAATATGATAAAATTCTTAATGCCTGATTGTCAAGAAAATAAATGTTGTGCTGCTGCAGTAAACTGAATCCTTTTAATCTATAAATACAAACTAAACTCAAATTGCTATTGCTGTTGCACTAGGCTAAAACAAGATTAAGTCTAAATTTTAGCACATGCCACCCAGGTGAATTTACACTCCTAATGTATG